TACCCTTGTAGACCCATCAAAATAATACTAGTTAAAATGCATTCTACATTTCACCCAAGCTATTTTACTTGCTGTTCCCATATACATGTTACTTGCACACTGCTCCAGATGTGGAGATAGATATGTGGAAATAGTACGTATCTTCACATAGCTATTCTTAAAGGGATCCCTAGCATCCTTCAGGGTTCAGCTTAAGTTTGACTTCCTACATTTGGATTTCCTGATCCCTTTACAACCTGGAGCCAACCTACCTTTCCAGCTTTTATACTTTGCTACCATTTAGATAGTCTGTGGTCTGACCGAATGGTCTTGTTGCTTCTTATACCTAACCTTCTGTCTCCCAGAGCCTTTGCATTGGCTCTTTCTGTTGCCTGGAATGCCCTTCCTTCTCACCTCTACCACTTTGAATCTCTTGTTTCCTTTCAAGCTCAGCCCAAGTGCTACCGTGCAATCTTTCCTGATCCTTCTAGATTCCAGTGCCTTCTCCCTCAAAATTATCTTCTACTTATTTTGTATATTGTTGCCCAGAGGTTATTGTGATGAACTCAGAGTGTAGCCTTCTCTTGAGGTCTGTAGTTCTTCCTTTTCTTCTCTCTAGTGGGTAGAGAAAAGAACCTGAAAGCCCAACCCACCAGTCTCCTTGGAGGTAGACTAGCTCCTGAATATTTTAGTCTGGAATAAAGGACCCAGTTCCACAAAAACCCAAAACTTTAAAAATAGGAATTGCAAACAGAATTAGTAAAATGCTTGGAGCCTTTAAGCAATCTCTTGATTACCAAGAGGGAATTTAGCTCAATCAAATATACACAAGTTTTCCTTTTCCTCTCTGGAACTTTTTATAGAAATACAGTTAAAATTATTAGAATACAGTTAAAATTATTTTATCTTTATCTAGTGAACCATTGTTAAAGTAATAACCAATAAGCAAAAATATTCAAATTGCAAAGAAATCTTTAGGGATTAATCATAGAAATGATAGGAAATTTCATTAAATATGACAGTAAAGTAATATTCCAAAATTTGGGGGACACAGCCAAAGCATTCCTTTGGGAAAAATTTATCTTTCTTGGGAATTGAGAATGCAGCTAAAAATACTAGAAAACTAACAACTTAAAAAACCCAAATTAAATACCAAAAAAGAAATCCTGCAAATTAGGAATTAATAAAAACTGAAAAAAAAATTGAAATGAGAAATAAGACTAGAAGCTGTTTTTTTTTAAATCCACACTAAAATAGATAAACCATTTGCTAATTTGGCTAGAAGGAAAGGGAAAATCTTCAGAAATGAAAAAATAGAGCATTCATAATGAAGAAATCAAAGATATTATTAAAGTACTTTGCCCAGCTGTATGCAAACAAAGCCAAGGATTTAAATGAAATAAATTAATATTCACAAAAACAAAATATTCAAATTAAAAGAACAAGAAATAGAGAATTTGAGCAATCCAAATTTCAGAGGAAGAAATTTTTAAAATGCATAAATTAACTTTTCAAAGAAAAAAAATTCAGAAGCTGATGGATTTACAAGTGAATTCTATCAGATATTCAAAGAACAGTTCCAATATTACATTAATTGTTGGGAAAAAATAGCAAAAAAAAAAAAGGATCCTCCGTCTCATACCCAGAGGGTTGAGGGGCAAAGATGATGAAAAAAAAATATTGTAGGGGTTGTGGGAGAACAAGTACTGTTGTTGGGCCTATGAGTAAACACAAACAATCATGGAAAACAATTTGGAATTATAAAAAAAAGTTAAATAGTACATGCACTTTGACTTAGCCTTACTGTTGCAAGGCCTGTTCTCAAAACGGATTCTTTCAAAAATAGAGAACGGTTCTATATGTGCAGACATATTTATAATAGCTCTTTCTGTTATATGCCCATATCCTCTCTGTACTGCTTCTGCCCTCTCCTTCTACCTGCCCTCTCTATTCTGCGTCTTTCTTTTTATTGGTATTCACCAGATGCGATGTGCCCTCTGCTTAGACTCTTACTACATTACAGATAAAATTGTGGGGCTTATGGACTATTGAAATATAATAGGAACTCCCGAGCAATTGTAATGTTAGCATTTGCAGAGAAACATGAGACTATTTACTGTCATGACTGTATCATAATGATGAAATAGAGAGTACATTGAGTTAGTAAATAATTTTTAAATATTTCCATCAGATATTCTATTGCATGTTATACCACTTTCAAAAAGCAGTAAGAGATGATTTTCTTTAAGCAGGATCAGATTTAGCTTATTATTTTCCTTTAGAATAAAGAGAAAAGAGAAGGATTTTTGGTGTGCTGTACATCAATCACAACATTCTCCTATAAGAACATTTCTTATTCCCAAATGTCTGTGAAAGAAAAAATGCTTGTTTGAGACCCTATCTTTCCAGTGGACTCTTTTATTATTAATGGGAATTTGATCACCAAATTTTCTAAATGATTCACTGGCAAAATGTCACTGCATTTTCACAAATGTAGTCGTATAACCAAGGAGCACTGTATCATCATGTAGGTAGCAGGGAGAGCCCTAGATATTGTAGGTGGAGGATTCTGTGGTGGGAGCTTCGATCCAGGAGTCTTTGGACAAACCCTGCAACCTCTCATCATTCCTTTGAGGGCCTTCAGTTTATCTGTGGTAGGCTGTGTTATGGTACGTTGAGGGCTGGAAATCACATCCAACTCATTTTGCCCTCTCCCCTCTACTACACCTACTTCCCCCACCCCAAAGTGTGAAAACCAAAGAGGTACTTTCCTAGCTCCTGGTATGCCTATGCAAAAAGTCGCATCTGTACATGAATAAAGCTGCAACTGCAAATGACTTATAGAGAAAAACAATTTTCAGAGACAAGGAACTGAACAGTGTAATAACTGTCCACGACTCCAGAAGACCAGTGATGAAGCATGCTCCTGACAGAGATCAGGTGGTGGTGGATCAGGCTGCACAATAAGATATGCATTTTTGGACACAGCCATTGTGGGAATGTGTTTTGTTTAAATATGAATATTTGGTTTTTAAAATCTTTTTATTTGGTATTTTATTTTTCCCCATTTACACGTAAAAAACAATTTTAACATTTGTTTTTAAAACTTTTAAGTTGCAAATTCTCTCCCTTCCTCCCTCCCCACCCCACCTCATTGAAGGCAAGCAATTCAATATAGGTCATATGTGTGTAGTCATGCAAAATGCTTCCATAATAGGCATGTTGTGAAAGACTAACTATATTTCCCTCCATCCTATCCTGCCCCCTGTTTATTCTATTCTCCACTTTCCTTTCACCCTGTCTCTCCTCAGAAGTGTTTGCTTCTGTTTACCCCCTTCCCCAGTCTGCCCTCCCTTCTGTCAACCCCCTTTTCTCCTTCCCCCTACTTTCTTGTAGGATAAGATAGATTTCTATGCCCAATTGAGTATGTGTGTTATTCCCTCTTTAAGCCAATTCTGATAAGAGTAAGGTTCATTCATTCCCTCTCACCTCCCCCACTTCCCTTCCACTGTAAAGCTTTTTCTTGCCTCTTTTATGTGAGATAATTTACCCCATTCTACTTCTCCCTTTCCCTTTCTCCTAGTACATTCCTCCCTCACCCCTTAATTTTATTTTTTTAGATATCATCCCTTCGTATTCAAACTCTCACATGTGTGCTAGATATACTCCTTCGAACTACCCTAATAATGGGAAAGGTCTTAAGAATTACAAATATCTTTCCTATAGGAATATAAACAGTTTAACTTTAATAAGTCCTTTATGAGTTCTCTTTCCTGTTACTGTTTACCTTTTCATGTTTCTCTTGAGTCTTGTATTTAAAAGTAAAATTTTCTATTTAGCTCTGGTCTTTTCTCAAGAATGTGTGAAATTCCTGTATCATTGAATGTCAATCTTTTCCCCTAATGGATTATACTCAGTTTTGCTGGGTGGGTGATTCTTGGTTGTAATCCTAACTCCTTTGACCTCTGGAATAGCATGTTCCAAACCTTCTGATCCTTTAATATAGAAGCTTCTAAATCTTGTGTTATCCTAATTGTGTTTCCATAATACTTGAATTGTTTCTTTTTGGCAGCTTGTAATATTTTCTCTTTGACCTGGGAACTCTAAATATGAATGTTTGTCACAAGAGTTTTTTCTTTTTCTCAGTGGGAGGAAAAGGGGAGCTGAGAATATGGTAGCCAAAAAAGAAAAAAATAATAAGAGTACAGTGTCATTGAAGCCTGTGTGTTAAAAAATGCACTTTCCCCCCCTCATGATCATTACTAGGAAAGAGAAGAATTTGTAGCCTTGGAAAGAGAATGAAAGGAAAGCCAGAAAGAATCACAAGCAAACAGAATTACTTTGAAACTTACTGTACATGTTGAATTTATTATATATTATAAAAAAGCAAACAGTAGATGATAGATTCTCACAGAGTAACGTATAATTCTTTCTGTTCTGTCATGCGTATGGCGATGACCATTTATTTGACGTTTAAGTAAATGCACAAAAGCATCACGTCCTGCTCATCCTCTCAGGAAGCCCTGCTGAATAGCTTAACAACCAAGGCAGATGGGGGGCTGGGCAGGGGCTGGGAGTGATCTCAGCTCATGGAGTGGTGCCAGAAAAGCATTGCCGCCTGCATGCCTTCGGGTCCTCAGATCAGAGGTCTAGAACTGGAAGGGATTGCAGAGGCTTCAGAGTCTCTCGTTTTACAAATGGGGAAATGGAATGCCGGAGAGGTCCAGAGTCACTTCTCAAGGTTACACAGGCCAGAAAGGGCAGAGGGCAGATTTCATTGATTGAAATCTAGCACACGATCTACTGTATTATGAACCATTCATCTTATTGGACAACCAATGTATTTTTTAAACAGCCATTTGGTCCTAGTGACTGTGGCTAGTCACTTGAGGTGCTGGGCTTGGAGAGAGGAAGACCTGAGTTCCAGTCCTACCTCAAGTGCTTATGAGCTGTGTGATCCTGGGTAAGTCACTTAATCTCTTGCAGCCTCAATGTCTCCATTTGTATAATAAAAATAATAATAGCACCTACCTCACAGAGTTATTGTGAGGATCAAATGAAATAGCATATAAAGCACTTTGTAAACTTTAAAACACTGTGTAAATGCTAAATATTCATTTATACAGCAGCTCTTGTTTCTTCATAGTCATGGAGGAGAAGAGACATATTTGGTCACATCCTGGTCCATCTTCTCATGAGCTGTTAGGTGATCTCTACTTTCCATTAGAAGTTTCTTTGGACCTATAAAGAAGAAGTATAAATTTAATATGTTTTGTTTTGTGACTGATTTGGCCTCTGCTCTAGATCTTGTTGGGATTGAACCCCAGGGTGGAAGGATGTGGGTAAATTCAGTACCTGATCATGAAACCTGATGAGCTGTGGTTGACAGTCCATCCAGGTTATCAGAGTCTGATTTTATTACCGTGATTGGATTCCTGGAAATTGGAATTAACCAAGACTTCACCCATTGGTGTCACCTCACCCACCAAAGATAGCACGAGAATCCCTTTTGCAAGAAGTAACCCATATGGGTTGAAGCTAAGCCACTTGAAGTTTAATTATAGGGCTAGACAGACAAGTTCCACGTCCCACAGTAAAACCTGCATATATTTCTCTCTTTCTGAGTGTATTGTTTCTTGGAGAGAAGCCTCACCTACAAACTGTAGCAAGCTTACCTTTTCTTGTTAATTAATTTAAGTAAATCCTGTATTTGCTTGGAGTTAGGGTTCAGACATCTTTGCTCCTGAGTTCTCTTCACTGTAGCACTGCAATGAAACAGGGAAGAATTTAACTACATAAATTATATTCAGTGATATTGAGGTTTATTTCTACACAATTGTAATGGAGGTGCTAGCTCTGTCTTGGAAATGCTCAACTCTTAAATCCTAAGGCTTAATCTTCTTCCTTTCTTGTTGTGTGATCTTAAACACAGACTGATCCTAAACTGAGGTTTCCTCATTGATAAAATGGAGATGCTACAATTGGCTCCATTCTTCATAGAAATCATAATTAAAATAGTTCCCTTTTCTTCTGACTCACTGACTACAATTTTCTTACATAGCTGTTAAAGTATTTATTCTGTATATACTTATGTGTGTGTGTGTGTATATATATATATATATATATATGTTGTCTTCCCTGATAAAATGTAAGGTCCATATGAATAGGGATTGTTTTATCTATTAATCTGTTACCCCAGTGCTTAGCACAGTCATGGCACATAGTAAGCGTTTAATAAATACACGTTAATTAATTTTTTCTCATGATCATTTTAAGGAAGAGGTGAATTTACAAACTGGGAAATATTCTTCATTGCTTAAAAACAATTCTACTTTCAATTCATTAACTTTTATAGAAGATTACTGAGCTCTGTCTGACCAGGTCAGACACTTTTTATTTTCCAAGTTTCATTTTCCTGGTAAAAAACAGTGAATATATTTCAGATAGGAAAGAGAATTTGTGATTAAAAAAGAATTTGTGATATAAACATTAGGAGATTTCAAATATGGAATTTTTATAGTAATTATTAATTTTCTTGTGCTGTACTAGGATAATCTTTCTTTGGAAACATTAAGTCAGAACTTTAGGTCCAGTTTTACAAAAGGCTCAGAATTATCAAACTAGGCTGTTACTGATCTTTTCTGTGATCATTTCAGTATTAGAACTCACATTTTTATAGCATTCTTAGATTTGTAAAGCACTTTCTGTACAACAACCCTTTGAGGTAGGTAGCAAGTTTAATTATCTTAAGCGCCAAAAAAATGAAATGCCTATTATCCCACAAGTAGTGTACAAGTAATACAAGCTAGAATTTGAAACCAGGTCTTCTGAATTTAAGACCTGTGTTCTTCTCGTTGTACCATACTTCCCCCAAAAAAGTTTTGATATTTGATTAAAACTATGATGGGCCTGGGAAAATGCTATCTACACACACATAGCCAATAGGTAGGTTTTTACTTACATGATCTCAGTGTGTGGACATGAAGAACTTTCAGGAATTACTTCAAGTTTTTGTAAAGATTTCACATTGGGGATAACATCATGAGACTTAATGCATCGACAACGTATATTTCTCTTAAGTGGAGATCCTTAGGGAAAGAAATTGGCAGAATAGAACAAGTTAGTATAGTGTTCCAGTACAACAGTGAATATTCAAAAGAGGCTTTCACTACCACTTAGACACGAGTCATAGAATGGACTTACTTTCTAGGCAGAAGCTCCAGGTTACAAGAAAGCTGAGTTTTGAGTATCTTTGAAATATCACAAGTTCTCATAATGAGTGAATTTTGGGATGGTTTGATTAGAAAAAACATTGATTAACAAAATAGCATTTAGTTAATTGGACCAATCCCAAGTGTTAAGTTTGCTCTGGGAGATTTTTCTCTTAAACTTTGACAACTGATTTAAATCATAGAGGCTTTGTACAGTATTCTGGGTGCCTTTTCACCCATAGGCAGTCAATAAAATTTTAAGCATTTCAATCCTCTACTAACATGTATATATTCAATTCTGTCACAGGCTTCAAAATAAAATATGTCACTGTGCCTGCTTACCTTGAACCCTGGGCAGAATAATGAAGAGCCAGCAGAGGAGGAGAGCCGTGCAAAGGGTAGCTCTTTGGTTCATGGTGACAAGATGGGGCGTTCCTCTGTAATCTCAGTGGGTTCTGAGAGCTAGAGAATTTGTGAGAGGCCATGTGCATGGGAATCCGTATTTATAGGCTTTTCCACTCTTACCTCTGTTGGATCTGGTTAATAGTTAACAAACAGCACACTGATCTGTTCCTGGGGAAGTCCCCTATTGTAGAACTGAAAGTATTTGTATTTAGCACTACTTCCTTGAAAAGGAATTCCCCATTTTTTCAATGAAAAAAAATGTTAGGTTTCTCTTTCCTTTCACTAGCTGTAACAGATGAGCTTATTTCAGTAGCCAGCTCAGGAATTTGGGCCAAGTAAGCAATGAAGTCAGATGTTTAGGCTCTTTATAAACACACATGATGGGAAAAATGCCACCGAAATGTTTAAATGATCAAAGATGAAAAGAGGCCATTCATTCATTTAATAAATACCGATTATTATTCTATCCCTGAAGGGGATAGAAAGAGAGAGAGATTGTGGTCCTTTAACCCCAAAGAGTTTATAGTCTAATAGGCCCGTAGATGAGGGAGTCCTGTAGAAGCATTTAGGAGGTGAGGCAGCGTCTCATGGACCTGGAGGCAAGGGGCCATGATTGGGTGACACTTTACCTAAGATAGGAAGCTGGCTGATCGGGTCAGGAAAAGGAAGAGAAGTTGGTCAGCTTTCACTGGGAAACATGTGCCCAGCCCTTTGTGACTCCTGGAGGGTGTACGAGAGCTAACTCTTGTCCTCATTCTTCTTGCTGGTCCTGGAACCAAGAGTTCTGTAGGTTCTGGGCCTGGTCCCCTGGGTGTGGTCTCCTGGCCTGGTCTGGACAGGTCAGAGGAGCTTCCTGGTGCTTTGTTGGGTGTTCTTCACTATGCTGGACTGGCTCTTTGAGGATTCCAGATTTGATTCCAGATGTTCGCATTTCCTTCTTTTCTCGAATTTGTACAATCTACATTGAACACTCTTGTGTTTAGTCTTGTCATCTGGTCAAGGAAGCCATCACTCCAGATGATTTAAGCAATGCTGTGAGGAGTGGAGATTGATCACGTGTTATTATGATCCATCCAGAACGGATTGTCAGGGGTGCTTTTTAATACATTTTCACTTGATTCTATGTAGATTCATGGGTGTGTGCAGGACATTTCATAAGGATGTATACCCAGGGAATTTCATTTCTTAAAGCGAATTTGGAATACTTACTCACAGAGGACATTTTTATTCATCAAACTATAGAAATAAATTTGGGTTACTTTTTCTTAAATTAATAACAAAAATTTTTTAATATGAAATTATTTAAATTATTTTAAATTCTAATTTTAAAATTAAAATTTAAATTTAAAAAATTAAATTATTTTTTCATTTAAATTATTTAAAAATTTAACATTTAAAAACATTAAAAATACGAAATTCACAAAGGTCTCCTTTTAATCAGATCTTTCTGTTTGAAATAGGGGAGGCAGTAAGCATTTACATAGTGCCTATTTTGTGCTAGGCACTTTACAAATATAATCTCTGATCCTCACAGTAGCACTAAGGTGGGTGCTGCTAGTATTCTCATTTACTGCTGGCCAATCTGGAAATAGCTGTTCCTTTAGTAGGGTGTTAAAAAGTATGGAAAAGGACTGTTTCTTCCTTCTGATGGGCTGGTGCTTTTGGGGGACACAACCAGGTCAGTTCTGCCTTGGACTTTCAGCAAGAGGGAAAGGAGATTTCTTCTTCCCCTCTCCTTACTGTCTCCTCAATATCCCTGGCAGCTTTAGCAAGCAGATGGGAATGCATTAACATATGTAAGGTGTCCCAGAAGTCTTAGTGCAGTTTTACATGTGTATACATAAAGATAATTCCCCCCCGCCGCCGCCGCCGCCGCCGCCGCCGCCGCCGCCTTTGGCAATCAGGGTTAAGTGACTTGCCCGGGGTCACACAGCTAGTAAGCATCAAGTGTCTGAGGCTGGGTTTGAACTCAGGTCCTGACTCTAAGGCTAGAGAGCTCTATCCACTGCACCACCTGGGTGCCCCCTACAATTTTAAGTTTTACTAGCCTTCACTGTGTGCTTAGCTAGGTGAGCCTGAGATAGGACTTCAGGTCCCTGGTTGCTTCTTCTGCTTTGTATTTCTTTCCCTGAACACAGAACAAAACAGTGATCCTGGGAGATGAATGTTTGCAGCCTTGTCAACTATCTTGTGAGTTAGAATGGTCTAGAGTTCCTGAATTGGAGCTGGTTACCTAGTGCCGGGTGCTTCCATCAGTCATCTTCTGATTGGTGTAGAGGATGACCAGTGCCAGGAGGGTACTATACATCTTAAAGTACTAAGGAAGCCCAGATCATGCCTATCTGGCCAGAGGATCAGGACTCTGAGTTTTTTGCTCAGGTGTCCCACAGGTCTCCTGGGAGAGTATAATACAGCAGATAGGTTATTGTGTCATGTTTTAAGTATTTGTTAATATACACTTATGAGTCTTCATGTATTTCTTTTGCGGTGAGGGAATTAAAATGATTATGGGAACTGGGCATTTTTTAGCCTGGAGAAGAAGAGGCTTAGGGGGTAACATGAGAGGCATCTTCAAGAATTTGAGGACACGTCACATGGAAGGAACATTAGACTAGTTCTGTCTGGCTTGAGAAGACAGAACCCAGTTCAAAGGTAGGAATTGCAAAGAGAAAACTTAAGCTTAATGTCAGGGAGCTTCTTTTAGAGCTCTCCAGAACTAGAATGGGTTGCCTCAAGTGGTAAAGGGTCTTCTTGGAGGTCTTCAAGCTGAGGATCAATAACTCTGTGTCAGGAGTATTATGGTAGGGACTGCCTTCATGTCGGAGTCAGTGGCCCACTGAGTTCCCTCCTGACACTCACATTCTGTGATGTAGCTGTCCTATGCCTGATACTGAATACTTAGTACAGTAAGGACTTTCTAAAATGGGCCCTATTGATCCTTTTTGAGAAGAGAATCTATATGTGACACATAATGAAGAGCATTTCCCCAAATTCCAGGGTAGAAGCAATGAGCCAGAGAAGGCAAGAAAAGCACAATCCCTCCTCTTTTGGGTCAGCCTTCCCCAGGACTGAACCTGGGCCACGTGAGCACAGCTCCTTTGTTCCAACGCAATGGCAACGTATGGATATTTTCAAGCAAGCACCGTCACTTAACAAGAGCAGGCACAGCAACTGCAGTTACATAAATCCAAAAGAGCAAATATATACCTTATGAATCAAAAATTATGGAATACATTTCGGCAATCACAATTTTGCAGCACTAAGATGTATGACAGTTATTGAGCTATAATCAAAGATTGCTGCATGCCTCAGATTTTCCTGGAACGTTTTAGTTTGATCTTTTCCTTTCCTTGGATTAGGTTCTACCTTTCATAACACCAATTTTTTTATATTATATGTTCCCTTTCCCTCCCCAAAACTAGATTAAAAAAACTACTCGAGTGTCCAGACTATGCCATTTTTCTTCTTATATCACCGATGCCTGCCTCACACAGTGCCCTGTGTCAGGTACTTAATACATGCTTGCAGAATTGAAGCTGTTGAACCGAAGTTGTTTTCACCAGTGGGTGACAATTTAGAGGGAGGCAAACTTTTATTGTTATAAAGCTTTTGTAACAGAGTCATTCGCCAGTGGGACAGGCTGTTTTGTGGCCTGGACAACTGTCTGTTGTTGAAGATGATCAAGCAAGAAGCTGGTAGATCATTTGCCAAGAGCCTTTTTAGGCAGGGAGGGTTGGTTCTGTTTTGGACTGATCTGTCGTTTGTCTTTTGTGGGGGGACAAAGATTCCATTTGGTTTGGTGTAATAGACGCTTACTGGGATATGAACTGGGTGCCCAGTTTTTAATTCACAGTTTGTTTTGGGACAGATCTGTATTTTATGAAAATGTCAAAGGGTGCTGGGGAAACAGGCATGATTTATTAGAAATCAAAGTATCCTCTCTGCTAATGGAATTTCCAAATATTATGGCAGTTTATAAGCAAAGTTATGTAATCTTATCTGTATTTCACACCCTCATGATTTCTAGGAAGTAATTATTCTGCTTTGTACTTCATATGAAAGTGAAACTACATAAGCTTGATCTTTCCTGATTGCCCAAGTTCCATCCCTGTCCAAAAAGTCAAGGTTGCAGTTTTGTGTCAGACAGGGTTAGAAAGGCAGGTTAGTTAACTTCGCCATTCCAAAATTGAAATTGTGTGAATGGACAGTTTATATTCTAGAGAAAGCATTAATCCTAATGTAATAGTTTGTATTGATTAGCTGCCAAAACTTGTAAGAAATTAATGGTAACATTCTAAACTGGTGTATTAACTTAGTCTCACTATACAAGTGTGTTACATTTAATAGTCAAGAATAGATATGCAAAATGCAGCTTTTACTTTCCTAGTGAGGCTCTTCAGACCTAAATTGCTAGACTTGTGTACTTAATTCTCTCTCTTTTTTTAAAAGAATAGAAAATAAGAAAAGGAAAGTATTACTTTATTGTCATAAGAGCTTAAAAGAATAATGATAATAATAATATTCACTAGAATGATAGAAGGGTGTCTAGAACCTGAAAGAGCATCCATATCTATAAAATTCACACTTCATAGTTTTGAAGAAAAAAGAAGTTTCAACTTTATCTTTCTTCAGAAATCAAATGTTAATTATCATTTTTATTCCTTTTATTTGCAAATCTGTATTCTCACTTCCGATCATTCTTTCATGCTTTGTTGAGGCCCTATCTGGCATTTCCAGCTGCCTGTTATCACTTGATTATTTTACTGGCATCTGGGCCCTACAGATCCAAAAATGAATTAATTATCTCCAAGATACTTTGGGAAAAGAACCTGGGTAGTGGTTTGAGGCGGCCAGAGCATTGGGGTGAAGGTGTTAAGCACACTGTTAGGAGTATAGATCTGTATCTTTGAGGAGAGTTTAAGGAGAGAGAAAGAGAATTTCTACTCATCTCCATAGAATTGATGGTTGAAGCTGTGGGAACTGATGAGATGACCAAGGGGGAGAATGGTGTCTGTGCTGTTCAGAGAGCCCAGGATTTGGCCTTCGATTCTTGCTTTTGAATTCTGTACTTGTGTGGCCTTGGGCAAGTCATTTCATATACATTTTTAGTTTTCTCACCTATAAGATTACGGGAAAGGACTTGTTCT